CGAGACGAAACTACTACTAACTACTACGTGTTAAGTTAACCTAACCTACTCTCCTACTACGCTCGTTCGGTCCGACTCCTAACCCAACTACGTCTCACTCCTACTCTCTCTCTCTCTCTCTCTCTCTCTCTCTCTCTCTCTCTCCACCATGACAGGCCGCCGCAGTCAGCTGAGCCCCGATGCTGACAATCCAAGCCGCGACCAACAGGAGCGGTTGCTCCCCATCGCCAACGTCGGTCGCATAATGAAACGCTCTCTACCTTCCAATGCAAAGATCTCCAAAGATGCCAAGGAAACCGTCCAAGAATGTGCGTCCGAATTCATCTCCTTCGTAACAGGCGAGGCCTCTGATAAATGCCTACGCGAGAAAAGGAAGACGATCAATGGCGATGATCTCATATGGGCCATGACGACTCTTGGCTTCGAGAACTATGTGGCCCCTTTAAAAGCTTATCTGAATAAATATAGAGACATAGAGGGAGAGAGAGTGATAAAGTTGAGTGGGGGAACCCCGTCGCTGGTTTTCGATGAGAGCAGTGGTGATTTTCAATCGAGAAATGGTGAGGTTCAGGGGAGGACAGGAAGTTTTCAGGGTGGTTTTGGGGGAGGAGGGGTGGGGGGGTTTATGGTGGAGAGGGTGGGCTATGGTGGGGATGGACATGGACAAAGAGTATTGCAGTGGTAGTAGTCCAGTAAAACTTGATTTCTTTTTCTTGGTCTCCCTCAACTTTGGTGGAAATGCTCTCTCCCTCTCTCTCGGTCTTAGATTTTACAGTAGAGAGGAAATGTGGTGGAATGTTCTTGTTTACCCCTTTTTATGATACTCTAGCTAAGCCATTTTATATCAATTTGGTGTATGACTTCTTACTATATACTCTTGATTTCTATGAATTTGATGTACCATTTCTGTATCAGTGTTCTCTCTCTCTCTCGTTTGGTTTAAGCCGAACTTCATCCTTCATGTTGAGGTGGAATTAACAATCCCTTTTGTTTACTTATTTGCTTATTAAACAGGTGAATATGTCATGACCTAGTTATGATTTTTAACCAGCAGCTTTGTCCGACTAGTTTTAGTCGGTTGAATTGGTTGGATTGGAATTTTTTTTTTTAAAAAAAAGATATATAAAATTTATTATAAAGAAAGTTGTCTAACTTTGTTTTGTTGGACTAATTGATTGGTCAGTCAAGCATCTAAAACTGGCTAAACATTGGTTTTGATCTATTTGCAATTAATTTTTCCTTTGAACTAGAATGACAAAGGCACTGTTGATAGTCTGACCAGTTACACGAGCCGGCCTGGTCTTGGTGCCATTGGTTTAGGGAGTACACATACATGATTGATGGTAAGACTTGGAGGTAAGTAGCCTCAAAAGGTCAGGGCGATTAGTGAGAAAAGAAGCTAAGGTCCTCATTTAGATTATTCGAAGAGGAAAAAATCAATTGATTGGCTTATTTAAGTTATAGCTATTATATGCAATGTTTCAAATCCGGCAATCTAGACTACGAATCGTCGATCTAGATAGTGAATCATTTGGGACCAAACTGGTCCCGGAAGGTATGACACACTAGTCTAGTTCTCACCTAAATCCCCCTACCATATTTGTTGTCTTTTTCTTTTTTATCTAAAGTTTTCTTAGCTCCCTCTAAATCCCCCCACCCCATAAACTCCTATTCGAAATTTTCCTCTTTTCTTTTATTTTTGATATTTTCTAGATTGCGATTCAAACCGATTCAGATTGGCAATCCGACATGGGTCTGTGGGATGGATAAACCATCCCAACAATCCGGGTTGTGAAACTAATATGATTTTAGTAAGGGTGAGGCTTATTCTAGTATCGTAAACCTTATGATGGCTTCAAAATATATTTTTATTCCTAGTTATAAAACTTAACATTTGAATCAAGTAGATCCATAAACACTTGAAAATCTTGAAATATACGGTCCAAATAACTTGTTACACGATGCACTACTTTTAATATTTATTTATTTATTTCCGTATCCGCATATCACGAAGTGGAGATGATCAATTTGATAGCTTTCCAACTCGAAATAATCTAGACTCTGGAGGATTTTTAAGGCGCAACTTTCTTCAATAGTATAAGTTACAACCTTATATAAACTTTTTCCCCTGTAAATTGGTATCGAAGTCGTTTGCTAAGCAAGAGAAGTTTTCAAGGAGTGATATAAAGTAAAATCCAATTGAGGTTGGTCCATATTGCTATTCTAGTTCTTTTGACAAGCATCTTTTCAGCTTGAGTTTTTTCCTTTTTTGTGCTGAGTTTTTGGTGTTTGTAAATTCTCTTTAGGTTATTTTCAGGTGGGTGGTAATTTATCCACAAGAATGAAAAAATGAAAAAACTCGGGCATATCCAAGCTTTCAAGTTATAGAACCAATGTTTTAAAGCCTGGCGATGTTTTATTTGGATCAGCCAACTAGGATTTGGTATGCTGCTGGTCCCGGTGGATCATACTTTTTTTTTTTTAAAGCCTATCTAATATTTTATTAGGCTCCCCTTAAATCCGTACCCTATAAAACCATGTTGTATTTTAGATATTTTATGGATCACTGATTTAGATGGATCTGGATCATAGATCTGATGATTCGATACAAATTTGTGGGATGAATGTTCCAAATCACTGGTTGGAAATGAATTTTTGTTCACTTAAATAAGCTCCATTTTCATTTGTAAATCAGGTTAAATGATGAGTCACCTCGGATTATCTTTTCCAATATTTATTCACTTGAATCATGTGATGCCTGCTGAAGTTTAATGGTCTAAAAATTGTATTTTGCAGATTTTTTCTAAAAGAAAAAATCTATTCACTTGAATCATGTGATACATGTCGAAGTTTTAGTGATCTAACAATTTGTATTTTTGTAGGTTGTTTTTACTTAGAATCAATTTCTATCCAAACAGAGTTGTTTTGCCAAAGCTCAATTTGACTGGAGTTCTATTTGGTCGGAAATCTATTTGATCGGAGCTCTACTTGGCCAGAGGCCGAGAGCTTGACTTAGTTGGAGCTCAACCTAGCTCTAGCAGAAACCTACAATACGTAAAACTTCAAATTTGAAGGTATGAAATGGTCTCGCTTTCTTCGAAATGGTAATACCCCTAACTCGATCTTAAAACTAAGTTTTAAGTGGGTGGGTTCATGTGAGCACACTCCCACATATGCTTCTCCTTTTTTAGTTGCACTCTCGAGAAACCCAAAAACTTCTTGGCTGCACCCTTCAAAATAGATAGGATTTGGTTGAAATATCGATTTGAATTGAATCTCATGAAAAGGGATGAGAAATATCAAGAAGATATGTTCTCTAATTAGCAGCAGTGAAGAACGAGAAGAAATATATACGGCTGGAAAATTTCGAACCCGGAAAATTTTAATTTTATTCTGAACTTACTATGGATAATGTGATATCTGTTGCATCAATGAAGCAGAACCAAGAGCAGTATTACGAGTTCTTCATATACTCGCAAGAATAACTAAGAAAACCATTAAAGAAGGAGCTTCTGTCAATGGATGGAGCAAAGAAGATACTGTAATCCTTTTAGCACCTTACATCATACATTGACAAGTAATCATGTGGCAACTTACATCAACTTTTGACAAATTCAAAGATATCAAAGTTCAAACAGGCACCATGAATATAGAAGCTGATGAAACTTTCAAATGAAGGATCAACCGGCCCTCCACTGGACCGGTATAGATCGGCAGGATTGTTATTTTAGCAAAATAAATAAATAAATAAAAGAAACATGAAATTGAACAGTATTTTCGTCTATAGGTTCAGCACCGTCATTTTTTCTTGGACTGTGGGGATTTGGCATAGCTACGAACCTATTATGTCCTTTACGGCACCTCTACAAAAAGTTGAACATAGCCCAATTTTAAATTGTTTTTTAAGGACTTATGATTTAAATTGTCAAATAAATATTAGAAAAAATAAAATACGGAATATGGTAAATTAGAGGGATTGGGGCCAATTTTTTAAGTTGGCCAGGTAACTCGACGAATTCAAATCCAAGCTGGATCGGTGACTCATAATTTTTCAAACCCTCCTGAAGAAGGAAAGGCAAAAACTCCCTCAGAGGACCTACCCGTTCGGGAGGTTTTTTTTTTTTAATCCATAATTTTGAGAACCGAATTATTTTCAAAAGAAAAACATTTGAATTTGAGTTTTATGATACTTAAATCTCACCTCACCTCTAATAAATTGGACTGTCTTATTCAATCTTGAGATTTCATTTTTTTCAAGTGCATGGATGCTGTAATTAGGAGACTCTTTTTGTTGAGGTTGATGTATAGGTTGAAGATGTTACATCCCCAAAAATTAGAGTCTTAAAATTGATCCTAGATGAGCTCAACCCAAAGGATAGACATTGTGCTCCCGGGGGACTATAATGACGTCTGGCATTATTTTTATAAATAGTATTAACATTATGCATAGCCATTACAAACTACCGAGAAATTTAGAAGAAAGATATTTTGATGGGGCTGCAACCAGCTATCAAAATAATTAGAGTCTCACCTCCTTGACAACTAAGATTGTAAAAAAATTTTTAGAATTTTAAGTCTTAAAAATAATACATAATTTAACGTATTATCTAGACCGTCTATTTCACACACTGAAAACAAGTGTCACAAACCTACAACCTCGGGTCTGTGCATGGGTCTAAAATTGGAACTCGAAACGTCGGGTCTGGGTACAAAATATAGACTCGAATACTATTCGCTGCCCGTAATACACTTTGTCCATTATTTAGCAGATAAGTTGCATCGTTTAGTCGGTTTAGATTCAGTATTCACCATACGCTACTTCCCACTGTTCAGAAAGCAGTCTGGAGTTGATGAGTGAGAAAAATTTGCAGAGTTATTAAACGAGGTGTGCGAAAATGTTATCGGGCAATGCATTGTGAACAAAATGGCGAGAGAGAGAGAGAGCGTTGCAGCGATGAAAGCCTCTTCCACAATGGCTTTTTCTCGTCCCAATGAATAGGTTTTTCGGGTTTGAAATCGCGGCTTTAAAACCCGCAACAATGGCTTACATCTCACCTCTGAGACGTTTGCCATTGTTTCAGAAAGACCAGCTGCTCTTCCTCTTGGTCTATGGAAAAACCCATTTTCCATTGCCTTCTTTACATAGAAAAATCTCTACCTCTCCAATTCTCTTTACTGATTACTCTTCATCAAAATCTCAAACCAGGGAGACCCATTTCAAAATCCATGGATTGAGGCTCCCTCAATCTGACATTGAAGAAGTGGTTTTCGAAAGTCCTTTGAAGAAGAGCAGGAATGAAAAGAAACGAGAGGCTCGACGGGCTGTGCAGTGGGGAATGGAACTTGCAGATTTTTCTCCTCCTCAGATCAATCTCATTCTTAGGTGCTTATGCTCCTTTAATTCCTTTGTCAGATATTTTTTTTTTTGTCATTTTTATTTAGTGGGGATGTTGCAAACAGAAAAATATTGGCATTTAGGAGTCTTTAATGGTGTAAATCTATTCATATTTTAGATTTGTTTCTGTACTCTTCATGTCCTCTCTCGTTCTCTCTACCTTTATCTCTATCTTGTATCATGTGTCATATAGGATTTTATTTCAGTTTATGCTCTCACTCATCAATAATCCATTGAGTTCAAAATTTCCTTTTGTTTTTTCTTTCTTGGTTAAATTTTCTATTCTGGCCATGTGTGTTTTTGAAATGGGATTTTGGGAGTTACAGTGAAATGGTTGATATAATATGATTTGGCTTAGGAGTTTAGGCCCCTAATGCTGGAACGCTTATGCATGTTTTATTATTTCAAAATTCACGCTTTTTTAAATCCTGAACTGGTTCAGTCTATTTAAGTGGTTTTCTTAACACAATGAATTGGAAATTTGTGGTGAATTGTCGATTGTGTTGAAGTTTTAGGTAGTGGGCATTTGCTTTTCTTTTTTTGGATTAATATTGTGAACGGTGTATATCTATATTTGGTGTTTCAAATAAGATTTTATTTTTGAATCACTGGTGTGATGGTGGAAATCTACTATAGTTTACTTAATCGGGAGAAAAACGTAACATTTATTCTTTATTTCTTTTTCTGAGTAACATTGTGATTTGAGGGCCTGCTTGGATGCACCAGTTATCACAAATAATTCACTCTTACGTAAAAATACCTGTTACACATAGTTATTTGTTGTTTGATAGTGTCCCTTATAAGTTTATTTGTGAGAATTTTTGTTTGATTTGCATATAACCTAAGGGCCTGTTTTGGATGACAATTAATTTTTTTTGGAGGAGACTATTCTGTGTAAAATTAATATATTTTGTATAATATTACTTTTGTCAGCTGTGTGGTAGGTGCCCCATATTGGTACCCTAACCCTAAACAATGCATATTGAAAGTTGGTGATGACCCTAATCTTCAATGCTCCATTATCCTCCATTCCAAATCCTACTCTCACTGTAGTGGACTGGCGTCCCATCAACCTGCATGCATCGGAGTGGACCATCTCCAGTGGAACCTTTGAGAAGGACTTTGTTAGAGGGAATGGTTGTTGGTGTTCTTTTCCATATTAGCAGCCTGCACACACTGTTTCATGCCAATTCTCAAATTGTGGAGGCCCCCTTCATAAGTTGTTGCCTTGACATTATATGTGACTTGTCGTATGCAACATGAGCAAGAAGACATGCCACTAGTCTGACATCTCGTTCTAGCAGATTTTATTGACTTATGCAGTCCCCACATACCGAACGTATACCGCCTCCATTTGCCACCCATACATGATCAGGTTTTCTTCGATCTTCACCTTCTTGAACACCTTCACATCTTCGGATCCAAACATCATATTGTGTCCCGCAGCCATGATATGTGGTACCCATACTAAGTTCTTTGTCATGCTTGGGACATGATACACATCCTCCTGGATAGTCTCTCCACTGTCACCCCATCTATTAACATGCACGTTACCCACATTGACATTGGGAAGCATCGAGTTGTCCGCCGTCACTACAGCATGATTGCCCTTGAGCTTTCACAGCCACACGAAGTTTTGGGGTCCCCGTCACATGTTCTCCGATACAGTGAAAGCAAGGGAAATCTGCCTTTCATGATGAATTCCCAAGACAACCTGCACAAATCCCACTTGCGCATCTTAGTCACCATCATCACTTTGCGAATCACACTGTGTTATCTGTCACAATGTTCCCATTCTCTGTCTTCCGCGGCATTCTATAGTGTTTCACAAAATGGCCCTGCTTTCTATAGTGATAGCAAATATTTTTCTGTTTCTTATCCTGCGACCCAATGCTGTTCTCCTCCTCTATGTGTGAATCCAACCTCGGGCCTGATTTTTGTTTTCCTCCACCGTCTCTAATAGTTAGCCGTGAATGCCTCCTCACTCTCTCTCACAAAGAGCCCCGCCATATGTCTTGCTAGAGCCTCTTGATTTACTAAGAGGTTCTCTAACTCAACCAACATGGATTGTGTGGACCAACCTTGAGTCGCGGTCAAATCCTATTAAACTCCAATCTTAACCCACGGATGATCAACCTCCCCATATGGCTGTCACTGATTTGTGACTTCATATCAAGTTGATAGATCTCGTTGCACAGGTTCTTAACTTTCATAAAATACTGAGAAACTGAAAGAGAACCCTATGTCAATGAACTGAGCTCATTCTGCAACAGTTGCAATAGGGCTGTGTGTTCTTTTGCGAGAACAATGATGAGAACACATCCCATACCTCCTTCGGTGTCTTCACATCCCTTATGTGGTCCATCAACATTTTGTGCATGGAGGCTTTCAACACAAAAAAGTGCCTTACCTGCTTGGATCTTCCACTTACACAAGGCCTTTCCGTTTGCAACCTCTGCTACTGGTGGGACAGTGTCTTTGCCATTCACCGTCTCCTAGAGATCTTGCCTCTGCAAATATGACTCCACGCAGGATCGCCAATCAACATAATTATGGTTCCCGAGCTTCTTGATCCCGGCCATCAAACTCATGTTTTCTGCCATGTCGGTTGTGTTTCATTTGGTTTTGATGATCCAATCTTTCAAGTCAAGCGCCCAAAATCACAAACCTAGGCCTTGTGGGTTATGGGCCCATAACACTTCCACTGCGTAAGTAACTATGGTGTACTTTGAAAGTGGATGAGTGTATGAAAGAAAGCGTTCTTTCTCTTTCTAATATTCTCTTGTGTTTTCATATTTCTAATATTCTCTTGTGTTTTCATACATGGTGTTCTTTTTACAACCTTATGTTGGTGGGCGTATGATGTTTATCGAGCAGTAGTTTGTTTCTCAAAGCTCCTTTATATTTTTCTTTGTGCTCAGTGTGTGTTTCTCCATGTGCATGATCATTCCGCATGTCATCATCACCAGAGCCTTTTCCCTAATATTTGGGGTCAGCTTGATCGTTCCGTATGTAACTCTACAAAAAGATTGCGAGAGGGGCAAAGGGATAGAGAAGGGTAGTTAAGAGGGGCCTGAAGAGGAGGTTTGCTTGATGGGATCATAGGTTGGGGGAGTTTGGCTATGCTCTGAGGAGAGGGAATTGGAGCTCTACTTGTTGAGCTATGCTAAGAGGCATTGGAGCTTTTTCTTAATGAGGCCATTGGACTTTTACTCAATGAGCTTTGTGAAGATCGCAACGGAGCTCTTCTCCTTGAGCTTTGAAAAGAGAAAATTGGAGCTCTTCTCCCAGAGTTATGAGAATGGCAATGGGGAGTTTTGAGAAGGGAGTATGGGAGAGACTTGCAACTTCAGTGGTTACGAGGCCAATGAGATTGGGGGATTTGAAATGAAAACGAAGAGATCGAGTCTGTCTCCTACCTAAATCAGATTATGAAACCAGAGGAGGCATCATTGATGTATGGAGAATTAAGGCAAAGGCATTTTATTTCAGTTGCCAAAAATGAGATTCTGTTTAGGGATCCATGGCCCTTAACTCGGGGGTTAGGGTTAAGGTTGTAGGATGGGGGGAGAGAGAGGATTTGAGGGTTGATAGAAAGAGGAGATCATGAGAAGAAGAGAGCTTCCTCTGTTTAGACAGAAAGGGCTTGTTCTCCAAACCATTAATCCTTGTCAAAAAATGAAAGTTCTATTTTTTTTGAATCTGTTAATTGTTCTATTCTATTTCGTAAAAGGGAAATACAAGTGGTCCAAAAAATAGGCATCCCACGCCTCGGGAGCACTATACAAAAAATAAGCTACCCACTAAGTGGTAGCGCTATACAAAAGGAAACTAAAGGCAAACCATATTAACGGCTGCCCTATACAAAAAACACCGAGACAGTGTGTAGACAACACAAAGATACCAAAAATTCTCTCTAGCTGCTGCTGAGGAATCTGCCACGAGTAATTGCCATGTGCTCCATCCTTAGCAAGAGAGTTAGCTTCTGCGTTGGCCTCCCGCAAAACATGCTTCTATTAGACGTCCATATGCCTTCAAATGCGAGTGATTTCATCAAAGACATGAGCAAGAGACCAAGAGCATGGGGAAGCAACTGAGGCCACCAAATTACATTCTTAGAATCCCCCTCTACAACTAAAGTCTGGCCCCACTAAGGGTTGAACAGTTTGAGGCCTTCGAGAAGGCTAAGGCCTCGGCCATTTGAGAATCCAAATGTATGATATGTTTGGAGAAAGTGGCAATGGTGTTGCCCTCATGATCCCTAAAGATGCCACCTAGACCTGCAGGGCCAGAGTTGCCTAAAGAGCAACCATCAAAATTGAGTTTGGTTTGCCCAAGGAGAGGAGGTATCCATAAGGAAACACAGGGTGTAATGCATGCCAATTCTGAACAAAGGCCCAATGGTGGACACCTTTAAATCTTTTGTGGTTGGAAGCCCAGAAAATCACCAGAAATTTGACATTGTCAAACAAGGATTCTGGTGAGCGTCCTTCCCCCTTGAATATCCGGTTATTGCTTTTGAGCCAGATAGTCCAGAGGGTTGCTGCGACTGATGCCTTCCACCGGAGGATACCAGATTTGGGCCAAGGGAATGGTTTTAGCGATTTGAAAAGGATAGGGATAGACGAAGGTGTTACCCACTGCCACTTACAAAGCTGAAGGAGAGCATCCGAAATTTCCTGATTCAGAGGCAATGAATGAAGAGCTGGGCACTGCTTTCCTCATCAGCAGTAGACATTGCGCATCCATTAGGATTGGGCAGGCCTATCCTTTGAAGCTGGTCAACTGTCAAGGCCCTTTCGGATAAAACTATCCAATGGAAAACCTGGACTTTAGGGGGTGCGATAGAGTACCAAGTCTGAGCCACAATTGATGTGGGGGAAAGCGGGAAGGTGGGCGGTTGAAGTAGAAACACCTTTTTATTAAATGAAGCAGAAACACCTTTTTTAAAAAAAAAATAAAAAAAAATAAACAAATAAATAAATAAATAAATAAATAAATAAATATATATATATATATATATATATATATAATATTATATGGAAGTCAAACGAAAATTTAACAAATAAATAAATTCATAACAAATACCACAGAAGAACAAATAAATCTTTATAATGAGAGTTTTTAATGTGACAGTGCATTAATAGTTAAAATGGGTGCATCCAAACAGACCATAATCTATTTCAAAATTTTGCTTTTACCTATTTCAACATAACTTTATCCTTTTTTGTTGGGGTTTTTGTTCAGCGAACCAAGTTCTCTTTCTCAGAACATCTCTCCCCTTCTCATAATCTCCTCTCTCTTCATCCTCAAACGTTCTCTTTTCTCTTTCCCTCGCATACTCATAGCCCTAACCTCAGAATCTTCGACTACGGATCCTAGCTACAATCTCATTTTTCAGCAGCAGAGCAGCAGAAAAACCTTTAGTACTCTAGTTCTCTTACCAATGCTGCCAATTCTGGTTGCATGGCTTGAATTAGGTAGGAGATTGGCACATTCTTCTTCTTCATCTCAAATTCTTTGATCTTAATGCCAAATCACGATTGAAGTTGCATAACTCTCCAAGAAACCCCTTCTTCCTCGCTCCCCCCTGCTCAGAGCTATAGGATAATAGCTCCAATCCCCTATTCTCAGGGCTCATGGAGGAAAGCTCCTATAGGACCTTTTCTAAGCTCATTAAGTAGAGCTCCAACGGAATCATTGGAGAGAGCTCCAATACCTCCTTATCGGAGCTCAATGAATAGAATTGACCTCCATTCCCTCTTATTAGATGAAGCCCAAGTTCCCCCTTCTCAGATCCCATCAAGCATACCCTCTTCTTGGACCTCAAGATTGTTGTCCTAAAGTAACAAAATCCTAAACAAACCCTACATCACTTGTAGTTGGAAGCCCTTGATTGAATGGTTGCAGGGACCTAACACCAATCAAATGGGGGTGAATGATATCAAATTTATGTTGGAATTTGCAGAAGAAGAATAGAGTATTTTGGTGAAAAATCGAAATCCTGAAATCCAGTAGGGGCATGAAGGTTGGCACTGGATTTTTAGCCAATTGGCCTGAATTTATCGCTACAACATTATATAACATTTTGAAAATGAATAATTGCATTGGGCGGAGAAGTTTGCGGGAGAATTTGGGGTTCTTTATTTGGTTTTGAAAGGGAGATAGAAGGGGAAAATGGGGCTATGTGATGCTGAGAGAAGATGAAGATTTTGGTAGTTTCAGAGTCAGAGACAGAAGAACAAGAGAGTGAGTGTTGGGTTTGGAATGGACAAGAATGGAGCTTCAAAGGTTAGAACCATGACTGGTTTTCAATATGCAAACTATTCGGTCATGGCACGAAACCACTACCCAAATAATATTATGGAGAATTTATAGTACCTGCCAAACAACTAAGAGAATAATATTATGCAAGATATATCAATTTTAGGCAAAATAGTCTACCCTTAGCTCACATCTAAACGGACCCTCAGTTTAGTTTATATTTGGTTTTCTGAATTGATTATCTTTTTCTCTTGGGAGTTGGTGGCCTAATGGTTGAAGGCTACTCATATTTTTGTTTTTGCGATATTCTTTGTTTAACCCGAAATCATGAACTAATTTACTGGATTTGTTGTTTTGAGTCGCATAAATTGGGAGCTAGGCACTGAATTGTTGAAACTTCTAGAGTTTGATACCCAAAGAATTCATGGTGTTTTGTCCTTGTTGGAACTGGTGAACTTGGTTTCCTTATTTTAGTGTCATACATGGGTTCAATTCTGCCTACCCCAATGAATTGGGAAAGCACTTTGACGATGATGATGATACATGGGTTCAATTCTAGAGTTGCATAATTGTGAAAATTTACACAAATTTTGTTGACGCAACAATCACTTTTTTTTTTTATTGACATTGTTATTGTGGTTTATTTAGTGTTGGTTTTGAGTAGAGTATCCTTTTCTGTTGGTAATTAGAACATGGAAAATATATTATCAATGCTGCACTAATATTTTCTTTTATTTTTCTGATATATGAACTTAGTTCTACTTGATCATTTGCATACGGTGTTGTTCTTTTGCAGGGCAGCTAGTCTTGAGCTAGAAATTTATGATGCTATCATGTTAGTGAAGGTCCTATATGTTCCTTCCCAGCATTTCTTGTGTTTTCTTCCCTTTTCTTTTCATTTTAGTAGATATCTATTTTAAAAACCATGCTTTCTTGTAGAGGTTGGGCCCTGATGTCAGAGAAGGAAAACGAAGACAATTCAATTACATAGGTATGGGGGCAGACTCTCTCTCTCTCTCTCTCTCTCTCTCTCTCTCTCTCTCTACTACTACTACTACTACTACTACTACTACTACTACTACTACTACTACTACTACTACTACTACTCTACTCTCTACTCTCTCTCTACTCTACTACTACTACTACTACTACTACTACTACTACTACTACTACTACTACTACTACTACTACTACTAC